GCACTCTTCTGTGTAGCAGGGCAAGAGCCATTAGTTCAGAGCCTGAAGGGTTAAAAGATACTAATGTGGAGCTGGGAAAGAGTATGGGGAAAGGATAACAATCTTTGCTGACAGCAAACCAGTCTGGCAGCCTTCACCCTACAAAGACTTTTTTTCCAGTTTAACAATGCTATTCACATTCAGGCAGTAACTTTGCTCCAGTCTCCTATCTGTTGCATAGCACAGCATTCACTACTTCCCATATTTATATCCTTGCAGCTGCTGTGGGAAAACATGCATCATTTGACAACTAACTCCAGCTTTAGAATTAAGCAGAAATGCTTTATGCTGTTTTAGGACTGATCCAAAGAACATTTTTAGGGAAGCAACACACCAGAAACTCACGTGATACTGCCTGTGCGTTCTTTTTCCCTTTTTTCATCCTGTCCAGTCCACTGAGTGATCCTTAGTCATGCCTAAGGAGGAAACCTATTTATTCCAAAGAAATATCAATGAAGTAAGAGCTGATTTGGTAAATATTAAACAAATGATTCAGTAAGGATCACTATAGAACATACACTCAAGAGTCTCCTAAAAGTGGCTTTATCTTTAAAAGGAATGTGAATTACAGCAGGGGAGAGAGATCTTTTATCTCCCAAACTCTGAAGATTACTTCATTTACTGCTTGCAGTTCCTGTAAGCACTGTAGATCTGGGCTGATAGAGTACATTTCTGTGAAAGACTCTGTGCCTTCTTTGAAGTGATTTGGTTCAGCTGTTTTTCTAAGTCAGCTTTTCATGGATTTCAGGAAATGCTTGGGGGAGAGGAGAATAATTTTCTCATAATACAGGTGACACTTTGCCAAATCAGGCATTTCAAGTCTTTCACAGCTGCAGTTTCTGGGGGCACTGTTTTTGTGTTTCATGAGCAGATGGAAACAGAACAGTTAGTGTAGTTTAACTTTCTCTGAATGAAGTATAGCCACTAGAAATTACAGCTGCAAATGTAGAGGCTTAGGTTCTCTGGATCCTGTCATGGATCTAAGTAATAGATTCTTTTAACATGCCAAATCTCTGCTCTGTAGATGAGGAGGAATTCAAGATTAGAAGCATCTTTTTATGTGCAAGTATGTCTGCACCTTTGCCATTTGTGTATGCAAATTTTCAAAGAGAACTAAGCTATCCTTTCCCCAGTGCACCACAATGATACAGCATTCACAGACTTTTAAAGTGTGTGAAGAGCATTTCTGGACAGTTTTATTTTTCCCCACCGAGGTTCATGGGGCTTGGTTATGTCAGACAGCAATGTCTTCTAGCTTAGGGTTTTGCACCTTTCCACAGAAATAAGGCAAACCAGTGTTGGTGCAGCTTGCTCAGTCAAGGGTTTGATTTACACTGTCATAAACTATGCATCACTGCAGTCTTAATACAGTGTTCCTGCTCTCATGGATTTAGGAGAGAGGTGGACTCCTGGGCAGATTCACCCTGAGTATATTTTCTACTTGCTTGCCCTTTTTTGTTGTAGGCTTTTGCAGGCAGGAATCCTCTGCCTGCTGGACCAGCACTAAGACAGACTAATTTGCTAGGACAAAGAAGCAGGACCATGTGGAGACCTGTCTGTACTTACACACTCAGTTAACTAGTTAATCTGCCAGCAGGATAGGTGCCAGAGCCTTTAAAACTAAAACCAGAGATGCTATTTTTTTAAAAACTGTGACAATAAAGTTTATTATGTTAATATCATTAAAAATATTATAAAATAGTAAAATATTCTGCTTGGCAGAAAAATTATGCCAGGGTTTTAAAACCCCAGGTTTGTGCAAACAATTTTTGTAAACATAAGAAGTCAAGTGTTCAGGTTCCATCACAAAATACAGTAAACTGCTACAAAAATAAGTTTGCTCACTGTCAAACATAATTAAAAATCCAGGAAGATGGATTTTGTTACACATGTCTAATGTGTCCCTATACAGTTAATGCTGCACTTATATCTGAAATGGGAAGGATTTCAGGTAGTCCTTTAAAACAGGATTGAGTGGGATCTGATTTAAGTTCTCTCTTCCAAAAGTCTTCACGATGCTTTTGCGGCAGAGCTCCTGCAGCGGCTGCACCCGGACCTTGCGAAGGGGGGTAACCAGTACCTTCCTCGGGGAGCTTAGGTAATGTTCCAGCAGCTTGAAAAGACAGTCAAAAGTCTCTTTGCTGCCATCCAGGCTGAAACGCCCAGTCTGAAAATTAATCCGGATACTGGTGGGCCCAGTTGCAGTCTTAACACTGATGGCAAAGAAGCAATTCTTTTGTGTGCTGTCCCTGATGAGGAAGGTGCCCTCGGGCTCAGACTTCAGCTTCTCGTGGGCAGCACTGACAGTCAGAGGCCCCCAGTAGAAGCCACAGGCATCCAGCAGGCTGCTGGCTCGAGTGATGCTACTGAAATCGGCTTGGGAGCGAAAGGTTCGGAAGTGTGTGTTGCCCTGTGCCTGCACAGTGCCGGGCCGGCCGGGGCCCTGGAAGCCTCGTGCCTGCGAGCAATCCCGTGCCGGAGGGTCAAGAAGCCGTCTTGGGTCTGCTCCAAGTGCATTATCTGCTGACACCTTGCTGTGCGCTACCATCCTACAGCCGAGAGCAGCGGGTGCGGTGTTCCATAGCGTCAGCGGCTACGGCAGGGCGGCCTTCCAGCAGCTACTCTGAAATGCCGAGGAGAGACAGTGTGAGATGGATCCCCAGGGACAGGCAGCAATCGCTGAATGACCAGCTCTTCCATTGATACACCTCCCACCCATTATCAAATATTCAAATATTCACTTCCCAATTTACACCAGGCAAACAACTGCTCTCTTTTGGACAAGATTAGAAGCCTATCACTATGGCAAACTTCAACGCTCCAAAAATATTTAGCGAGGATCATTAACAGTTACAGAAGACAATAAGTTTCCCTGCTATGAGCCCTTTCAGGGCCTAGCAACTCAAATGACTTCTCAATGAGAAGTCATCTCATGGACACCCTCTCCCATTCTCAAGTTTTTAAAGAACAAATCAACTGAATTACCATTTTTTCTGCCTTCCCAACTACAATGTCAGAACTCAGCACAGTGTTATTTGGTGCATGCATTGTGTGAAAAAGTGGATGAAGGCTGTGTACCCAGATAATTGGGGAAGAGAGTGAGGTGAGGTTCTATAGTATGACTGAAGTGTAACTTGGAGGGGCAGCCTGTAACAAGGTCAATTTACACAGTAATCCTAAAACTTCTTTCCTCTCTCCTGTTAACCTAAGGTTCAGCCATAAAAGGCCATTTCCATTCTCCCAAGTTTCCCTTGGGACAGCAATGCTACAACCTACTAGCTTATACAAATCAACCTCTGTGAACCCTTAAAGCATTACTCTGCAGTCTCTCTCTCTTTTTTGTATCACATGCACTTTAAGTGGCCCAATCTAAATTGCTTCCTATTGATATATCTTTCAACATGAGGGACTAAATTCATCCCTCGTGTTACTTCAAAGGAATTAGCAGGGCTGCACCAGGAATGAGTTTGGCCTGAAATGTCTGCCTCTGACAGTGTGGTTCAATACATCTCCGCTGGCTGCCTTGACCTTACTGGCAAGCATAGATTTTAGGATTTATCCCTATAGTCAGATATAGATCTGCAGCAGCAGCTTGTTGAGAAACCTTGAAGGATTCTCAGAAATGAATCCCTCACCCGTCTCACAGTTCAGGTTAACATGCTAACGAGAATTTCTAAGAAAGCATCCGCTGGATTCCTGTCTGTGCTAATTTAACAACTTGATGTTTAGTTTCATTTAGGTCATATTACTTCCTCAAGCACCTACAAGGGTTATAAAATCCTTAAGCTAGTAAGTAACAGGCTGAAAGTAGCATTCGCTTTGCTTTGCACAGCAGACGGAAACTGATGCCAGCTTTTCCAGTTACTGAGCCAGGATTATCGCTCAGTATTTAAAGTTAAAAATTCAGTTTCAGGACACCCTGGGGAGAAATAAGCACTAAGCCCGCGATCTAAAAATCAAAGGGCTCCCCAGCAGAAGCCATAGGGAGCCAAGCGAGTTAGCAGCGCCTTTCCAAAGCGCACAGAGCGAACAGGAGACACGGCAGTCTTCGGAGCCCGAAAGCCAGGGCAGGGATCTGGGACGAGGGCGCCACGACTGCGGCGGAGCGGAGACTTGTGCGGGGTCCGGCCCGGCCCGGCCCGGCCCGGCGGCCGTGCGGGCACCGCGGGCCCGGGGCTGCCCCGGCTCCCACCGCCGGCGCGGGCCCTGCAAACCCCGCTGCGTGTTCCCTTTCGTGCTTGTCCCACTATTTTACACCAGGCACAACAGGTCTGTCTGAGCACAGACACTGAGCCAAAAAGGGAAGAAAAAAATGTATTTAAAAAAAAAATAATTAAAAGGCAAACACTCCCGAAGCCACCACGCTCTTGGCACATCTGGCAGGACTCCTCCGAACATCTGAGCTCATCGAGCTGCGGCGCCCGAGCCCTCTCGGTGCACGTCGCTGTTGGCGCGGACTCCCTGGGCAGACACCCTCCCTTACCTCGGGGTGCCGCGGGTGGGGGCCGTCCCCGGAGCGCAGCACATGCTGCCAGTCCCAGTCCTGCTGCTAGTCCAGGTCCTGGCCCCGGGGGCCGGCCGAGCATCCTCCGGCGGGGGCCCTGCCTGGCGCCGCGGCGAGCCGGGGCTGCCCGGGGCGGGCGGGCGAGCGGCACCTCCAGCGCTCCCGGCCCCTCCAGCGCTCTGTGGCGGCGCATCGCCCCGGCTTTTTATTTAACGCTGGCTCGGCTCCTCCCCGCCTTCTCGGAAAACCTGTGGCTTACGTTCACTTTCGCTTTCCTCAGACTGGGTGGCCCTGAGCACCGCCTCCGGAGAACGCCCAGCGGGTTCTCGGGTTCCCTGCCCCGCCGCTGGGGTTGCTCTTCAACCTCTCTTCTTCTATCCCACTACACTGGGATACTTCTTTTTTTTTTTTCTTTTTTTTTTCCTTTTTTTTTTTTTTTTTTTTTTTTTTTTGCGGACAGCCCCGTAGGAGCAGGCGGTGGCCGCGGGCAGGGTCGAGAGGTGCTGGGGGGGAAATCCGAGCACGGAATCGCTCAGAGGCCCCAGGGAGGCCAGGGGACACTAGAGGTAGGTGATGGATGAGGCTCTGATGGCAGCTGTCTCAAAACGTGGGGGGGAAATGGCAAGAAAAGCAAGCAAGCAACCACTGCGGGGAGGTTTAACGTGAAAATAGCTGCTCTCCTCAGAGCTAACCATTCTGTCAGCATGAACAGAAGAGGTAAGGTAAGAGGACATAATGTATAACTTAAATGTTAAAGAAAGGACAAAATATTCGACTAATAATCTCAAAGTGCAAAAAGCATTCAGAGAAGCTTATGATCCTTCCACTGAGAAGACTGTAAAGATGCTACACTGGGGTTTCAGTTCTTAAAGCAGAATTTCCCTGGGGTTTTCTCTAGAGTAATCAGTATTAAAAGTAGCTGTTCAAATCCCAGCTGTATTTATAACCTTGCCAGCAGCCAGTGCAGGAATGCTCTCCTGCTCACCCAGAAGGAGATTTGAAACCTCAAATACCACACCAGTGTCTTATGTGCTCCCTTAAGCAGGCCCAGTAAAGTGTGCTTTCTTCCAAATAGGATGTGTCTTAAATAGCCACCACGTTTTAAAGGCCAAGTTTCCCCGTAGTTAACATGATTGTTTTGTAACAATGCAAAGGAATTGTCTCTGTCAAGTGATTAAGGCGAGAGGGGCTGGCAATGCCTTGTGAGTTGTCCTTTGGGATGAAGTTGAGGGAATGTATTTCTTGCTTTGAGACTAAATATTCTTTTCAAAATCCAGTGTGATCACAGACTGACTTAACCTGATGGCAATACAGCACCTTACAGTGATGTGCAGCCAGTGTACAATGGGTGAATCTTGACATTTCTGATGATGTTTTAGCCACCAAAATTTACTGCTTATGTTCTGTCATGCAGGAGAATGATTCTCATGAATTTGGAGAAGCAGTATGCCATTAATTTTAAGACCTTGCACAGAGATTCACTTTATGCTCAGACTCTTCTCTCAAGTTTTGAGCAACAGAGCTTTAGTCAAGGTTTGGCATAAGCTGCTAGGGGAAGCTCATTTGTGTAAAGCAAATGCATGAAGGACTGGTGGAACTGAAACTTCCCTTAGAATTTGCACTGCAGTTTTGCCACTCTTTGGCACAGCGTGCTCCCTGCAGGGGTGGATTCCACGGCTGGTTTGGACATGGCACTGTAGGTGTTCACATAGGTAGCCCAGCCAGGCCTTGCCCTGAACAGCTTAAAGTCTACTTAGGCAAGACAAAGTCCCCTTCCTCCCCCCGACTCTTCAAAGAAAAGGGCTTTGAAGTGCTTAACTCTGTCAAGATAAGGTAAATCAGAACCAAAAGTGCAGCTCAGATCCTCTTAGCTCCTCCCCCAGCCCCCGGGGCGCCCAGCGAGCTCCCTCCCTGCTCTGCAGCCTTGTCCTGCCGTCTGTGGCTGTTAAGGGCAGAGCACTTCATGGCTGTAATGCAGCACAGTGGGGTGCGAGTTTCTCACATGAGACAGAGTTGGCTGAAGGTTGCTGTAGATGTGCCAGGAAAGCTGTTTCACTCTCATATAATTTTTAATTTTGTAAGATCACAGGGGAAAGAAAGATCCTGCAGGTGCTCATGCAGTCTGTCTGCCATAGACTGTCTAGTGCAGCTGACAAAGTGTCCATCCAATAAGTTGTGTTCATTGAGCAGGAATGTGGTAATAACATTCACTTGCAAAGCTTCAGAGCTTGGCAAGGCTTAATTGGGCAGGTGAACTCCCAGATGCAGAGGAGAGTGATGGAGTGAACCTGCCAGCTTGGACACCAGAAGCCAAGCGTGTCAGGCTGCTGCTTATGGAGTTTGACACCATCCCTACGTGACCCACAGTGAGAGTGGTGCGGGGTGCTCCATGAAGTGCCGTAGAAAGACTTGCCCAGGAGAAATGGGCTTCAGCTGTATTGTGTGAGGGAGATTTGCACAGTGAGTGAAGTTTCTGTGATAGGAGTTGAGGGTTTAGATGTGAAGGTCCCACAAGTTGACCTTTCTTGGGAGATCTTCAGTTTTACCCACTCATGTTTTGGTTTTGCAACTCTCCATTCCGTCGTTCCATTCTCTCTCCTGCATGCTCTCCCTCGCCTCAGCCCCCCGGCAGTGTGTGCCCTGGCAGGAGCTCCGTGCCACCAGGATGCCACAGGGTGCTGTCACTGAACCCAGCAGAGGGCAGCGCAGAAAGGGGAACCGGGCAGAGCTGCTGGACAGAGCACACGGGGAAGCATCTCTAGGTAAAGGACTGAAGGTGAAAACATGCTGCCAGTCCAGGTGATTCTGACCCGTGCTCTGGCAGATTAAGGGGCATTTGCTGCTTTTTGCAAGGTGAATTAGAGTCTGTTTGGTAAGTAAGGCCTTCCATGTGAAATGCCTATTTTTCTCCATGTGGAGAAACAAATTGTGTTTCCTTCCCTGCTGATGGTCTCAGGAAAGAAAAGCAAAATCTGGAGAGAAAATTATTGGGAGACATTACCCCATCTTCCTTTCTCCCTTTTTTCTAGAGCAGGAAAGTAAATGCTTTTGCTCTGAAGGTTTGTATCAGTAAACCTCCAAAAGTTAGGATAAAGAACAAACTCAGCTTTTGTTAAAAATGAAAGTCATTAGCCCTATTTTGTAAACATTGTTTTGAAAAATGACAGAAAATTCAGAGGAATTGCTGGACATTTGTGCAGCAGGAGCATGGCTTACTGGCTAGAAACAGGACAAAAGTGACAGGGAATTTGTTAGAAAGCACTGGGAATAGGGATGGTAAGGTCTGCCAGGAGGCAGCAGGAGAAAAAACATGGTTTTGAAGGTGAGAGAGTACTGTTTCTGTTGGGGATATGTGGGACATTTGCCTGTTTGTTAGTGTTCCAAACTTAGCCCAACTAACAGCAGAATAATGCAGGCAGAGCTTCCTCTATTTGTGCTCCAAACCATTCCTCACCCTCTGACACCACCAGGAGGGATGAGGTTGTGATACCATGTGTGGTATTCCCCACGATAAATTCCATTATGGGGCATTCCACACCCTGCTGAATTCATCCCCACTGCAGAGACAGTCCTCCAGGGAAAAAAAAAAAATCAGAAAACCTGAAAGGCTTAGGAAATCAACAGGCACTCCCCATTTTAGCTTTTTCCTAGCTTTTGAGAATAGAAGCAGACACTGATTCTGTTATGAATCTGGATTAATGGACAGGCCAATGTGTCTGTGGGACAGCATGTTGTTTAGAGTTTGGTACAGTTTGGTTCAGTAAATAGAGTTATATTTGACTATTTGTCTTTGGAGGTTAGAGCCTCTCTTGTGCTGATACTGTACATGATAGCTCTTATATGAATGTGCTCAGTATCTACACTGATCAAATCACCAACATAATCTTTAGAAAAGGGGAACTGAAGCACCAAGAGATTCAGTGATTTGCTTGAAGTCAGAGAGTGAGATAGTCTGCAGAAGGGCTAGGAATGGAACATAATTCAGGTCTTCACAGCCCTATACTAGAAACTTAACCACAATACCATCCTTCCTGTTTTAGTGGGTTTTGTTTTCTTCTCCAGAATCTGAATTTTCATTTAAACGAAACCCTTGAAATCGGAATTCTTTGATTTTACAAGTAAATTAGACACCACACTGTCTGTGAGTCTGCTTTCAGATGCAGTGAAACCAGCAGCACTGAGCCAAGCGTGAAGCTGTCACCCACTCTCATGCAGTGTTTGGGTTAGAGTTTGATGCATTTAAACAGGACTTGTCCAAGAGATGCAGCCATTGTCACATTGCCTCACACATTTCCATTCCTATACTGGCCAATCAACCATTTTCTAAGTTAAGAGGTAATAAAGTGGGCCTGATGAATACAGCTCATCTTCTTATCCTTTTAATCAACTCTTCCAGGTAAAACAGCTACAGTTGTGACTCACTTTACACTGGTATTAGTTATCATGCTAGGTATCACTGAAGAACAATGTGTGTCTGGCCAGGCTGTCAGTCACAGCAAATTCGTCATTATGCCAAGAAAAAAATACATTTTGAGGATGTCACCAATTTGTTATCAAGCCTTGATAAGCATCTACCTAGAAAAGGGCAAGTCAGTTGGTACAGCAATAATTAATTCTGTCTGAACTGGAATTTGTGCTGTTCTGCAGAGAATGTCTAAGTCAGATCCCATCCAGATGGGATAGATGAGAGGAATTAGTGGTTTTGTCTTCTAAAAAGGATATGCATATGTGTGCTGGCTAGAATGGAGAACTGTGAGGTTTGGAAATCAAGCAAATTAAGCTTAATTGTGGACTAAGGCTGAGTAACAGCTGAGCCTCTCTGTCCCTTAACTTCCTTTGAATAGTCCATGTTGTCTGAAATATTTCACTGTAACAGATATAAACTGCTATTTTTCAAATAACCAATAAATTAACTGTCTGAGGCTATGAGAAAAGTTTCTTTCTCAGCTGGCTGTTCTGGAATTGTTTATTTTGAATTATGTTAGTTACTTTCTCAGTGTAGTTAATGCTGGTTTCCTTGAGCCCAGACTAAATGGATCCTGTGTGATGTTCAGTGGAAGTTCCTTGTTGATATTAACTAAGTCAAATCAAGATTCACAATAGTCTCATGAATTCAAATGCTGAGCACTTAACCACATGAAAATGTGGTTTGGGCTTTCTGCATTTCAGTAGTTTAGACATCCTTCTTTGTAATTAGTTGACTGGGGGAAAAAAAAGGGAAAGTCAAATTGTTGGTAAAGAATTGTGAAAGGGCAGCCTGCTTTGTGATTTTTTTTTTTCATCCAAATGACAAATTTGTCTTGCTAGATTGTGTGTGAGTGTGTCTGTATGTGCATATTCCACAACTGATGAAGGAACTTTGGATCCCTAAAAATAATGTTGGTGCTAATTGAAGAGGTAGCAGGGTGCTGTTCAGGGGAACTGCAGCCATAGACACTGGGCTGGAAATGTTGAAGCAGAAGCATATGAAGCTAGTTTGGCTTCCAGATACATCTGCTGGACTACAGAGCTTTCAGTGCAGGCTAGAGGAACACATTTTATTCTTGGGCATAATCAGCACATGGGGAGACTTTTATGCTTGGGATGAGGTAAAGGAAATTATTCAACTGTTCCCTCATATTTGGTTTTCAGTCCACAGAAATTGAATAAAATTCATTCTTAATATAGTCAAATGGATACAAATCTCAGTTCCATTTTTTTGGATGTAGAGAGATTCTAAATTAAAAAGAAAAAAAAAGTGGTCTTGTTCTTAAAGTGAATAAAGACAGATGTGGTGCTGTTACAGGAGGCAGAATTAGCACACTGGAAGTTGAGAAATGAGAAGGTGATGGCAGAGCAGTGTTTTGCAGCATCTCAGCCAGATCCAGGTAGGTAACTCACTGAGGCACTTTCAGATTATTTGGCTGGATTTTTAAAACTTAAAGCCATCAAGCCTGGATGACTAAATCTGAATAAATCACTGCTAATACTCAGAGAAAAGATCTCATGGCATATGGGTATGAGAAAAGATCTCATGGCATATCTCATGGGCATGATATGCTGACTGTATTCCTCCTGTCATTGGAATCTACTTCATTGACAGATCTTTTTTACAGTTGCAGTCAGTTCCCAAATCATAAACCACCAAACTTCTGATGATGGAATACATTTGGTTCTGCAGTATATAACAACTCCTATACCAAACAAACAGAAACTACTGAATGTGCACCTTTTATTCTACTGTACAGATTGGTCCAATATAGATTTTATTATTGGCTTATGCTCTTCAAAGTATTGAGAAATGATCCAGATTTCTGTTCCTCCTCTGTCACTGGAGAAAGGATAAGTCCTGATAGGTGGGTCAATAGTTTTCTTCAGAGTACAAATATTAATTCCTCATTTGCCAAGAAAATAAAAGGAAAAAACCCCACCATAATTGCTCTTGTGGAAAAAGAATTGGATTTTTTTCTTCAGACATTTTCCCTCTCCAGATTTATTGCAAACCTCAGCCAATTTTACATGTGAACTCAACAAGCTGAGTGCAAAATGGATTAGCTTCACCATGTTCCAGCTCCAGGAAAATTTCTAGGAATCAGGAGAATAAGCTGACAGTTTCTGATGAAAGATAAAAAAGTCCTTTAAATTTAGAATTTTTGGCATCTGATGTTAAAGAAACATCATCCAAAGGTATTAATGAAGCATTTTCTAATTTTAGAAATATCTTTATAAGTTATATACAGACCTCAACACACATACTTTTGGATTAATTAAGAAGAAATATTATGTTATGTAAAACTAGTGTAGCTTAGCATGCAGGTCTTGATGTCCTCTATCAGTAAATTAGATAATTAAGAATATGAAAGTGGGAAGAGTGCCCAGCCTGGAGGATTTCCTGCAGGAGCTCTGGAGAGACCTCACAGAGTTGCCCTTGCAGGGAGGGTTTCTGTCTGTGGTGACTCACTTTTCCAGGGCCACTTTGTCCTCTGAGAGTGCAAGAAGTCCTATTGTCACTTGTGTTAAACTGGAAATGAGTGCTGTGCTGCATTTCAACTGCAGATCTATTTCCGTTCACAATAACGTCACAAGAAAATACTGGAAAATTTCTGATAATGAGTCTAGAGGAAGCCTTACCCTTAATCACATTAATTGCATTGAGCTTGCCAAGATCACCATGTAAAATTACTGGACATGTGGGTAGTGACCTGTGATGCCTGAAACTGGTGATTCTAATACACCTTTACTGAGAGAAAAGCCTTTTGGAAAGGTAACAGGAGCTATTCTTACAGGAGAACAGTTTACATTTGTACTTCTCCTTCGTTCTTTGCTCCAGCTGCCCTGTGCTGTTCTGATACCACTGGAGTATGGACTGAGTTCCCTCTCAGTTTTTGCAGCAGTATCAAAACTGTGTCCATGACCTTCAGGATTTACTTCTAAACAAAGTGATCAGTATATTGCTGACACTGCAGTCTCATCCAGCATAAATTCATACAGCCTTCAGGTAATGCTGATTTAGTCCATATCAAAGCTGAAGTTCCATAATTAGATTTCTCTAATCACCAGTTTAAAAATTCAGATTAGCTGTGTGATAAGTTGTAAAGAAAAAGCAGATAGAATTCTTCCTATGCCAAGTGTTGGGGCCTTTTCCCTCAAGAGCTTTTATAGGCAAATGGATACAATTAAGCACCTACTACAGTACCAGCAAGAAATACCAATAAATGTATGAATGTAAATTTAATATAAATTTAAATACTGTGCTCTCTCTCATGACTTCCCATATAAATAG